CTTTTAAATACTTTTCAGATCACATACTTATGGTGTAGCATTTTTTTCACAGTGGCAAAACAAGAGAGGAAGAAGCAAAGTAATGTCCCCTGGTGGTTAAGGTTGTAATAGGTATTACTCAAGCTGTGAGCAGTGGTATTCCACTTTCCCAGCGTTGTCACTGGAGGGACAGATAATCAACCACTGAGTTTGGTGGAAGGACTCCTAGCTGCATGTCAATCTCCTGTACTCTTGCCTAGCCCTGCAGCTCTGAAGGGTCTAGGTAGTACCTGCTGATGTGGGAACAGTAGTTCTCAAGCCATTAGACTTGAGAATTTGGACTCTGGATTTGTAGTCGTTACTACGGTGCGCAGATAAATTTGTACTTTTTTTGGTCCCACTGTGTTGACTAATTTTCCCACAGATAGGTGAGACAGTGGAACTGAATGGCAATATATGGGAATTAGTCTCTATTGACTCTTTCACCTCTCTATTTCCATGGATTCTAGCTGCATTGTTTTGACCTTAAATGCAACTGGTTTCAGTTAGATTTCTTGATTGCACTCCTATTTTTGTTTGCAAAATACAGTCAGTGGTAAAGCTGATATTCTTTTATAAAACAGCTTTCCAGTTAATATGCTCATGGTTTTAAAACATCACAATTTCCAAATGATAAACTTGGTTTTATAGAAGCTGATCCTCCACCATGAGGAGGAGGGCCCATAGCCTCAGCAAGCATAGGCAAAAGCTGTGTGCTGAGACAGTCACTCCTGATGGGACTGGGTGGGCAGGGCTGGTTTGTATGTGTCCCAGCCCTCAACCCATCCTCAACCATGATGGGAGGCTCTCATTCAGTAACCTGAAGAATCCATGCTGTTCTGATGGGAACTTTAATCACCAGAAATCCTAAGTGCCAGCTTTGCTAGTCATAGATGTAAAGACTGATGAGATATCATGTCAGAGGTGAGACATGGGTGAGTCTTGAAGATGCTACCAGAGATGCTCACTATTTCTTTTTTCTAGGAGAAGATACAAGAGCTGTCCCAGCAAAAATTATCCACGAAGTGCCTCTTCAGAACTGAAATCACTAGTCTCTAAATGTTTTGTTTTTTAATAATCCATAATGTCAAGGTGCTTCAAGTATTGCTGATCCAACCAGTACTGTCACACAGAATGGTCAGGGTTGGAAGGGACCTCAAGGATCATGAATCTCCAACCCCCCTGCCACATGCAGGGCCACCAACCTTCACATTTAATGCTAGACGAGGCTGCCCAGAGCCCCATCCAATCTGGCCTTGAACACCTTCAGGGATGGGGCATCCACAACCTCTCTGGACAGCCTGTTCCAGTACCTTTCCTCACAGCCCTTCACCCCCTTTCCTGCTCCTTTGCTCTCTCTGCTGGAGCTGTCTTTCAGTGCACAAGCAGCTGGAGTTAACAGGGCCTCCGTTTTCCTTCAGACAGTGTTTATTTGTTGAACCTACTGTGTTTAACAATGTCCAATTCAGTTAGTGGCATCAGTTTTATAATACTTTTTTTTTCCCCAGTAGAATATCCAGTCTTTATTGTGGATGGGGGGAATGGAAATAGTTAAGATTTATTCTTTTTTTTTCCCCTAGAATAAATGGTGTTTTCTACTGTTTTGTTTCTGCTGGCAGTGGACTGGAAATCATGGCAAATGCTTTTTCAGTCTAGGACTGAGTGACAGCCCTTCAGAGTATATGGTATATTAACATTTTCTTCTGTGGGTAAGCATCCTTCACTCTCCTTACTTTTAATACTTTATCAGGTTATGGCTTTCAAACTGAATAAAAAACTGTTTTCAGAAAAGATTGAATTGCATGATAAAGTTGTTCTTGGAAGATGTGGTTGGTAGTGATGTAGTGTAATATGATACACTTTTTTACTTTAAAAAGTAGTATTGTGAGTAAGATTTAAGCAATCAGAAAGCCAGGCTCCTTTTCATTTCAGCCCTGTGTATTGAATGAACTTGTTGCAGGTTCACCCACCACTGTTAAGTTGGGGTTTATGTGGCCAATTGTCTATCCATGTTTGGCTTCACCTGAGCTATGGAGATAATTGGGTTTTAGATGCAAGTTTCCAACAGTGCAGTATGTTTCTTTAGGTTTCAGTAGGCAACTGAGTTAGCTAAAGAAACATCAGAATATGGAGTTCAACACATAAAGCTTATGCATTGTGCTTCAGTGGTTAATGATTGTCATTCCCTTCTCCCTAAGGATATTTGTACCATTGTACAAATATGTACCAATTTTAAATAGTCTCTAAAAGTTATTTTTGACCAGGTTCTCCTTTCAAAGGTGAATTGGTTCTTCTGGAGCCTGTTACATCTCACATCTGATCGTTTTTGAAGTGGTTTTGTAGGTACCTTACAAGCCAGTTTAGTTCTAACTAGCCACAGTGAGGAAGAACGCTGACAGCTCAGAGCCCTGTGGAATAACTGAGAGAGATCAGTAAATCAGTAAAACATGTGGTCAAGCCTGTCCTAGTCTGGAAGGGCCTCATGTGGTTCAGGGCAGCTCAGCTGCTTGAAGCCCCTGTGGAGCTGGTTTGTGAGGGCTCTATCTGTAACCACCTAGTCTGTATTTCCTCTCTGGCTGATAGTGCCCATCCATGGCTGTGATTCTTTTCGTTATCACCTTTATTAGTCCAGCTCTTAAGGACATTGCAGCTAAGATAACACAGAACACCTTTCTTTCCTCCTGTAGCGTTGCTTTGGCCGTGCTCACGCTGTCCCAGTCCCTCTCTGTGGTTGTGGCTGGGGCCTCCGCAGAGGTGCACGTGGAGAGGAAGGTCACTCTGTACTGGTGTGATTTGACCACGAATGAGTGACTTTGTAGTCCTGTTTTTGTCACTGCCTATTGACTTTCTTCCAAACCAGGAAAAGATGGGGAGGTTATTGAATTCATAAAATATGAACTATGGATTTTAGACAGCACAGGAGGTATTTGTTTTTGGTTTAGTGCTGGGAAATGCGTGTCCAAATTTGCAAAGGGGGATGTCATGGGAAACTTTGCAGTATATACCCTGGTCAGAAAGACCCTAATTTAGGGAGATTTTAAAATCATCCCTAAACTCAAGTATGTGTTTAATTTCTCATTGATGTGTGAGAGTCCTTACAGGAATCAAACCAAGGCAAGGAATGCATGGAGTCCTTTCTGTTATGTGGAATTTTTTTTTTTCCTTTTCTCACCACTTCTGAAGGATCATGAAGGTTTTTTTTAAGCAATGTGGTAATTTTTTTTTTGGTCATGATAAAGCAGTTCTCAACAGCTCTTGTTGAGCTTTAAAAAAAAAATACACTGCATTTCAAAAGGTTTTTTTCAACTTTTATTTAAAATATATTTACCCTTCCTTTCCAAATATATTTTGTATGTATTCATTATTTATAGGTGAGGATACCAACAGAATTGAGTGTGTTTGGATAAACTACAGTGCATGTTTCTTTGTGTATGTGGTGAGCAAATCTGTAGACATAGTACAGGTATTACCAACTAAACCACTCTTTGATCTGTGTAATGTGTCCTGTAATGATTGGTTTACATCCAAAAAGGGCAAAACTAACCTGCAAAATGTGTTAGCATAGTATGAAAATGTCATCTTCCATTGCTCTGTTAAAGCAATTATGTTATGCTCAGTAGTGTATAAATGTAGACAGTTATAGAGTACAATGTTATTTTTACCCTAAGGAGGAATGCAAAAAAGGAGATGTACTTCTTGGCCATAATTACTTTCTTCTCAATTGACTGAACACAAATGACTGAGGGTCTGTGTACCCAGTAGTTGTTGAGGGTCCCAGTGCAATGAGATTGCCTCATTGTGCATGCAGTAATGACATTGTGGAATCAGGATGTGGGTCTCTAAACATGGTTTTAGCAGCCTAAGTTTCTGTTAGGAAATGTTGGCATCTATACATAGGGAACTGTGGGGAGAAATAAAAGGTTGCTTTGTACTTCAGCTTCTTACAAGCTTTATTACTGAATCCTATGAAACAGGTTTTCCATGGAAAAAAATATTTCATATTTGTTTTTTGGTTTTCTTTCCTCCTGTCTATTTCTTTTTTCAATAATTGAAAACTACTGTTCATTATTTACATAAAGCTGTCTCTCTTCAGTCTGCTTTCTGTAACCTTTCCCCTGTGAAGAATTTGAGGAATTTGTTGGCTTTCCTCAGGGGGATCCTGGCCATGTTTTATCTGAGACTTAAGGCTAGATAGTTGGTGTTTTCTACTAAGTAGCTTACTATGTTTAAATACTTCCATTTAACCTCAGTATAGATTTGCCATTTGGGCACATTTTGAGAAGTTGTGTATGTAGGAAAATATGTACTTTACTTTAACCTTCAGCCTCCTTGGTAGCTGGCAGTAAATCTCCAAATGCGAGATGGAGAGCCGCTTAGGGGGAAGAAAAAAAGATACAAAATACCTAAATGCCCTAAAGGCTGGGTATTTCAGCTGTGTTTCTAAGGTTCTGCCTGTTCCTTGTTCTCTTTATTTGTTCTGTCTTTTTTTTTTGAAAATGAGGACGTGTCAGAGCACAGTATAAAATGACCCCTACGCAAACTCTAGCATTCCACATCCTTCGTTCTCCAGCTGTTAACATCAGCCAATGCAGCACACAGGCTTGGCTGCTGCTAGCACCATCTCAATGGCAGTCCTCACTCCTCCTTCCTTCCCTCTCCCTCCCTCATCTGTTTTCCAGTAAGACAGCAGTGCTTTGAGTTAGGCACTATTGCAATTAATTGAAATTTCAGTGAGTCCGAAATACTAGAACTGTCAGTGTGTTCATTCACTTCATATTAGCTCCTGATAGGAGTAAGTAGGTTTCAAAGCAGGTAGGTTTTTCTTTAGGATGGATTGCTCAGTCTGAATGATTTGCAGAGAAATGATTTGAAAGCCACATGGCTTTTTTAAGTCTCCTTGGAGTCATATTTCCTCAAAAGCATCCTTAATTATATTGCCTTACGGATTGTTTTTCTAACTCTCCTACATCTGTCTGCCGTAGGATATTTCAAAGATGATTTGGCTCCCACTGGGACTTGGAGATCTGATGCCACAATGAGGACTCACACCCGGGGAGCCCCAAGTGTGTTTTTCATACATGTGATGTGCTTCGCCTTTGCTTGCGGCATCAGGGAGGACGTGGATGCCATGGTTCCTTTTGTCAATGCCAACTACGACAGCTATCCCATGCTCTACTTTTCCAAGGGTGACGTGGAGGGTCTGCGTCTCCAGGCATCAACCACGCACCGACACATCACGGCTCGGCTGATGGAGGCAGTGCAGACAATGCTGTCAAACCCCCTGGAGTACCTCCCGCCATGGGATCCAAAGGAGTTCAGCGCTCGGTGGAATGAGATTTACGGCAACAACCTGGGGGCCTTGGCAATGTTCTGTGTTCTCTATCCTGACAACACTGAAGCCATTGGCATGGCCAAGGATTACATGGAGAGGATGGCAGCTCAGCCTAGTTGGTAGATTTTTATCTTTTTTTTTTTTTATGTTGTTGTTATTGTATAAACTGCCTGCAGCTGGAAGAGTGAGTTGTTAGATTAGTAAATTATTTAAATTGTTTCAGTTGTTTTAACGTTCATTTTGACAGTGACTAACTTTCCAAATGCATTTACCCTCGTCTGAACCAGTAGTAGTGTCACATAGCTTTTTACCTTCACTGTATCTACCCTATTGTAAATTAATGCGAAAATAAGAGGTAGGGCCTCTTTGTGTCTAAAGTCTCACTCTAAAGTAAAAAACAAAAAAATTATCCAAAACCACCACACATCAGGAGCCAGGGTTTCCCATCTGATCTGTAGTGAGAATGTAGTGTTAACTTTTTCCTCTCTTTTTCCAGACTTGCACATTTCCTTTGGGTAATGTTTCCTTATGAAGAATTCAGAATGAAACGATGCCTTTAGGATTAGGTACAAGTGACACTCAGAGTTTCCTCAAACAAGCGTTTTATGAATGCTCTAACATCTGTCTGAGCTTTAGTTCAGGCTTGCAACTTCACATTGCTGTGCGTTTCCCGGGCTTCCCATAAAGACATTGTAGGTCATGAAAGAAACAGTTGTTTTTTGAAGTGTTTTACTGCAGCTGTTGGAGTATCTAGCATTTTGATGACCTGCATTAACTTCACTTGGATATGAGTTGTCATACACATTATTCTGTCCTCACTGTGTCACACTTTTTTTTACAGGGGCAGAAGTTAGTGTTTTCACTGTTGAGTGAATTTACTGATTGGGACCATAAGATAGAATCATAGAAGCATAGAGTTAGGTTGGAAGAGACCATGAGGTCATCTAGGTCCAACCCCCTGCCATGGGCAGGGTAGCTACCCACTCAATCAGGCTGCATTAAGACACTGTTTGATTGTTGAAGCACTTTCTTCACACTCCTTTGTTTTTCATACCTGATTATTTCCCTTTTTTTCCCCCATGTATTCAGCGTGAAGTTCACACTGTAGCTGTCAGTTCTCTCCCTCATCCAGCAGTGGCTTTATGGAAGACTATAGCATGTATTACTTTGTCTGACTTTGCGCAAATCGGTCAACATGTTCACTCCTACAGCTTCTGAACAGGCAGATTTCATAAATCTGAGAAATATAATTAAAAAATGCATGCAAAACATGTTACTGCACACAATTCTCTGCTTAGGATAAGACTAGGAGAGGAAAGATGGCATGTGCAACAGTTCTTGTCTGATTGGTACTAGCAAATATTTAGGTGTTCTGGGGATAAGCCCTAAATAAGACTGATTATGCAGAATTCTTGCAATGTCACAGTAATGGAACTATTAAAAAAAAACGATATTGTTCAGTCTGTTAAATCGTGTTTAGCTTCTGTCAGACTTTGAGGAAAATATTATTCTGGCTGATAAATTAAGAATATTATCCTTATTTAATAAGGATAATAAGGAGGGTAGACGCTCTTCACAGGAAAATGGGAAGAAAGAATGGTTTTGATGATACTCAAGCTTACTGCCTTGAATGTTATGAGACTTAGGTGTCAGAACTGCTTATGTCAGAGTAAAGAAGGCTTGTACAGAGAGGTATCAGTAAGTAAAGCAAATCTGAATAAACTTCTCTCCTTAAACTTCTTTTCTTATATAAGTACCTAGACTGCCATGTAATTTGCCCTAAATTGTCTTTTTATCTCTGATGGTAGTCAACATGTATTGGTAAGTTAGATCTGGCTGACATATAAATCACTTTTTGGTAGCTGAATTCTTTCAAGAGTATAATCTGGATTTCTTTTGACTTTCACTTAAATGACATTGACTCTAAAGTAGCTCTAGAATTTAAAAAAAAAAAAAAAAAAAACAACAACAGCAAAAAAAAAAAAAACCTTGAGTTGGGTAGTTTGCCTCTAATTTTTGTAGTGACTGTAAGTAAAAGTGTATTTTGGTAGTGTGGGCAGTAGTTGGATAGAATATATCAACTTTCCAGCATCACTGATTAGTTCTTCCAGAATGTCAAGTCATAAAGCTGCCTGACATTTTAAAAATTCAGCTTTGTGTTAGTGAGAATCCTCTATAGTCCAAATATAGTTCAACATATCAAGGCATAGTTATGATAAAGTCTACTGGTAATTGATACATGCTTGGAAATGGCATGTAATTAAGCACTTGCTTTTCTCAACCATTAGGATAGTCATTTTGTGTCACGTAATAAAAGGCACCTTAATTGAATTCCCATTTGTGTAGGCTAACACAGCTTGAGCTGTTTGTCATAACAACCGCTCCTGAGAGGCATGCTGCTCGTAACAGAGCATCCATAATTGCTACATCCTGGAGTAGGTTTACATTTAGATTAAACAAAGGGTCAGTGGCTAATAGCTAGCTATAATTATAATCAAAATAGTATGGGAACAGACTGTTTTGGAGGCTAGCAGGAGCAGGGGGAAGTGTAGTAGATTAATGTTTTCATAAAAATAGATGAACTTCTACTGTTTTGCCTGTAAAAATTAAAAGCTGTTGTTAAATAACTTGCTTGATTTTCCTGGAATTCAATCTAAATGCTGTCTAAAAACATAGGGAAAGTTTGTCCTTATTTAAGACATCTTATCTTATTTTACAGAGACCGGAGGATATAGATCAGCTTTCTGGCATTTTATCTCCGAGTCACCTCGCACACTCCCTTACTAGACATGCGTTGTTGGCTGAGGGATCTGCACTAGTGATTCTTTCCATATGCTGTCTCAGCCTCCTCCAGCACCGAGTGAAGTGATGTAATTAGAGTTAAACACCATGCAGAAATAAGAGCCCAGTCAGATTTTGTGTTTGGACAAAGCAGTTAGAAAAGGTTTTTCTTTACAAAGTCTTCTGTACAAACAGATACCTCAGAAGTTCACAATTTCTGCACCCTTTTCACAGTGGGAGGGATTTCCCTGCTTAGAATTGCCACAAAGAATTTCTGTACTGTTCTTTTTGACACACAGTTCATGCACCATTTTTTAATAGAAATATGCTACCAGTGTATGATAAGGTATAGGATTTGACAGCAAGCCTGAGTTCATGGTTTCACATTGGAGATAATTGCTGTCAAACACCTGCAGACATTCCAAGGAAATAGCAGCGAGTAAATAGAAACTAACAGGCGTCTTCAATATAACAAATCTGTGACCCTCCTGATATTTCTTGTTATCCAGCAATCCCATAGCCCTCTGTTAGCCTATGTTTATTGAAAGTATTGGAGTATGGTGAAGGCTGTTGCTGTTAGTGTATAGATAGTGCTCAGTATTGAACAACATGAATTGTACAATAAAAATGCATGAATACAAGTATTTAAATGTAGAAATAAAATAAGTTCATGTGCTGAGTTGAAGACTCTATGCTGACAACACAGATTTAGCACTTATCTTTAACTCCCAATAATCAACCGTCGGGCACATTCAAAGAATACTGAGGAGGATTTTGTAAGACTGCTGAATTTTTGGCACGTTGCATTAGTATGTAAAAAACTTGGAGATGCTGTTGGCGTAGTCTCCTAGAGCGAGGAAGAAGAAGAATGGTAGGAGGATGAATTCAGTATCTGGAATATACATTATGTTAGTAAGTGAAATATCAAACCCTTGAGTTCTTATCGTTTTCATATGTAGTATTTAAAAATGGAAATTGTGCATGACTCTGAAATTAAACTGCAGCTGAAGTGTTAAGAGTTTCTTCTATATCTTCTATTTTGAAGTATGATTCTAGCCTGGTTTTCTGGGACATAAATCAGCACTCAAGTTCAGTGGTGACTACAGGGAGCTTACCTTCCTAGTCTAAAATTCGCTATAACCTGGAACTTACAATAAAGAGCTAGGGTTAACATAGCTACATTTCTTTGCTTGCTTTATGTAGCACTGAGAGTTACTAAAACAGATTTTATTATTTATTATTATTTATAATTACAGAAGGCTCATGATTAATATTAAGAAAGAGTAAAATTTGAAAGGGACTCTCTTATGATCAAAGACAAAACTGAGAGAAAAGAATATAAAAGCAATTTGAGAATCAGTAGAATGATGCTTACAGGCCCAAAAAGAGAACAGAAAGTAGTTATAAGTTTTCAAAGGAGTAAAGCTTCAGTTGTCTCTTCAGCACATTAAGCAGTAGGATCCTACTTGTATAATATGCTCTTAAACTTCTGAAAAATACATTGTTGTCTTTTTTTTTTTTTTTATGACTTTAGCCTTGTATATTCAAGCACTCCTTTGTCTCTCTTCTTAAGAACTGAGCTGAAATGAGCATGAGTGACTGCTGCTGAAATATGACAGATAAAGGAATAGGAGCAGACTTGTGTTGTTTTAGACACCAGAAATACAAATCATCAGTTTTTCAAGGTCTTAAAAAACAAACTCAATGTATTTCTTTTTGCAAAAGGCTGAGTACTTGCATTTTGCAGATTATGGAATTTTTGCTTTGGTGGCAAACAGAAAAATGTTGAAAGGGTGAAAGGTGGGAGATTGTTTTGGATTGAACAGAATTTTTAAAGGATTTTCATTTTTCTCTTCAAAACAAAAATTGGAAGATACTGTTCTGTCAGTGAACAACGTATTCAATTTGAGCATAAGAAAATATTTCATTTTGGAGACTGTGTAAGAAGAATATTGGGTATTGGATCTAGTTTATAAAATAAATGCTGGTGGTTTCATTTCCCATGGTGTGTATACTCCCTCTTGGTATGTATGCTTTTTCTGATCAGGGAAAATATTTTTTTCCTTTGCCTGATGAGGAGTTGAAAGCTGTATCTCCTGCTCCCAGAACAATAGCAAGGATATCTAGAGTGCCAGGGCACTGATGTTGTCTGTAGAATTACGCAGTTGGACACAGGACTAAGAGCTCACTTGGCCCTATTACATGCAGTATTTGCATCACACTTGGCATTTAACACGCATTAAACTCAACCATGCTGCTACCTAGCTACCATGTCTAAGATGGATTACACCTAAATGCACTGAGGGGGTGTCCTTGGACTAATTTCCAGCTGAAAGTCTTGTGAATAGAGCCCTGATTCATTGCATTTGCATCAACCTAATGTGAATGAGTGTTTCACTACTGAGGAGTGATTTCTGCCATGCTTCTTGCAATCATTAGCTTAATGTGCCCTCAACCTCTAAGTTATTCTTCAGTAAGTGATTTGTCATGAGGAGGTTTGAAGCATTAAGAATCAGGATGTGGTCTACATTTATAATGCATGTGTCAGGGCATGTTTAGTGCTTCATTTTGGATGCAGTGATGCCATATTATCTTTTGATAGAGAGGTTGGGAGTCAGGTATCACACTGCCTGCTGTTTCTTAAGTTAGTATGTTATGTTCCTATTTGCTTCAATTTGTTTTTATGAATTGGGTGAAGTGAAGGTCAATTTGTTTTTATGAATTGGGTGAAGTGAAGGAAGGAAGGTTCTAAATATCCTGTAGGACAGGATCAGGGATCTCACTTAAGTGAGAGAATTTTACTTGATCCAAATCCTGCCTTGAGCAGACAGACAGTGTTTTTTTCCTCTTGGCTTTCACCTCCTGGAGAAATAATAATGGTTTGGGTTTTGATAAGATAGAATTTATTAGAATTGAGGGAATTTATATAGAAATGAGGGAAAAATGCATTAACAGTTTCTGAAAGAAGGGGCATTAGCAACGTTATATGTGTTGCCAAGAACAGGGGAGGTTAGGGTAGTCTTATCATGATTTTTCTTAGTTTTGTTTCAAAGAGACAAAATATTGATTTGTTACTTCTCATACAAATTTTTATGCAGTTTATATTGTTTTCTAGAGCGTGGGATCCCATTCAGTGAAGGCAGTGTGTACACTGTTAGTTTGGGACAGTCTGGTGCCTGTGTGGTGGTACTTGGCATCTTAAATGATGTCTGCAGAATTGAGCTATAACCCCTTCCAGGTTTCACTGTTCATTGCAGAAGGTGGCAAATCTGAAACAGAAACCACGTTGCACTACACTAGAGTTCTCAAAACACATAGGAAAAATATGCTATTTTCATTATCCACAATCTTTTAATTTCTCTGTGATTTCCTTATGGAAGATCCATGTCAGTAATTAAAATAAAGTATCAAGGAGTATTTTAAGCAGCAAAAATGAAAAGAACCTATAAGAGCATCTCAGGCATGTGTTTATGTTTGAAAGTGGTTGTTCTGTACTAAGGAATCCATTGTAGACATTATTTACTCTGGATTCTTCTTTTGTAGTGTCTGATACGTTTGAAAAATGAAGGCTACTACAGTGCTACAATAAAAGTTACTTGCTGCCTTCAAACACAGCTGCTAAGCTGTGGTTCATATTGTCTGATGTTTTATTCAAGAGAGGATTAGAAAATAGCTGTTCTGCAGCATGTTTTTACCCATTTTTATTTGAATAAATACAAACAATTTTACTTTTTTATTTTAGAGCAAAGTAGTTTGTAATAGCCTTGAAAACTCTTTATTCACAGACCATGGTAAGTGCAGGCCTATGGTCCCATGCTTTCCCACGGGTTATCAGACAGGCTGTTTACCACATCTGATGCTGGAGACCTATTTGAAAAATGAGAGCACAATTTAGATACAAAAAATGTTTAATGCTTTCTACTTGTCCATTCTTCTTGTGTATCATTTTATTCATTGTTTGACGCATTTTACTTGATTCCTTTGAGATTCATTTAATGGAGGTGCACTGATTTATATCAGCTAAGTAATTACTTCTTAGAAGGAAAGCTCATTTTAAGAACAAATGTTGGCTGTGATTTTTGTATGTTTAGAGACAAGGGTTTTAAACAGTTGTCCTTGTGTTGTTTTTTTTGTTTGTTTGTTTGTTACTTGTGTGTATCTCTTCTGTTAAACCCCGTATAAGACCCACTACCCAGAATTAACATTTGAGGGAAATAATTACAGAATTGTGTTATCTAAACAGAAGGAGTTGACTGTGACAATGTGTAGCCCCAGGAAGCCTGACATAAACTTTTTTATTTTTAAACTTTTTTATGACTAAAGAAGTCAGCTTAAATGCAGTCATAACTAATCAGCTTAGCACTTCCTGTGTAGAAGATTTTTTATCACCTATTTTATCAGAAATGGTGCCACAGAGATTAATTTGTAGTGTTTTGCTATGGTGTTTGATGCTGTGTTGCTCTTGAAACCAAATATAAAGTTAGCTAATATAAAACCACATATCTTAACAAAGAAATATAAATTACATTGGTTCCATTGTCAAATCTCTCTTAAGATGAAGTCAGATAATGAACATTCAATAGCTTTTAACACACTCTGATCAGCAATTTGTAAGTTTTTATAAGGATACTGAAATTTGAATTAAATGTTTTAAATTCATTCCTTATATTTAATTCTCTCATTATTCTTTCCCCCTCACTAATGTATAGCTTAGCCTCAAGCACTTGTTAATTGTTCCAGACTAAAGTCTTTAAAGTGATATTTCCTGTCCCCATATGAACTCTGATCTTTGAATGTACAAAGATTTGGCAAAAAAACAAATCAAAAATATGTTGGAAATTTGGATTCGTGATATAGCTTATCAAAGATATGCATGTTTCAAGGGATTCCTGGCAGCAAACAAAGCAAAAGGGTGTTCCGTATAACTACATAGAATGCAAATTTGTTTTTACATACATGGCCTGTTACAATTTCAAAGTTTTTCCAGTGCTAACCAAAGATGAAAAAGCAGAATAGAAACAGATTGACAAATGACCACTTCACTCAGATTTTTAGTGTTTCTGTCTCAGTGATGCAGTATAACTGTATCTGGAGACTGGGAAGTGTTGCTTGCCTCGTTAAGTTACGTTTTCTTATAGTTTATCGGGAAGTATGGAAATAATAAGCACCTACATAAAGCATTTAAATATTTTGATCTACAGATCTGTAACTTTTCCCACAACAATTAACGCAAACCTAAATAAGAAATTTCACTATATCTAACCAGAAATCTTTCTGATGAGTTTGAACCCAAAGCAAAACAACAGAGAAAAGTCCCATACAGTGGCCACAAAAGAGTTTCATGAAGATATGGAGAAGACAAGTTGTACATTTTAAGAACTTTCATTCTTGACTCTTTGGCTGTTATTTGTTACCACACTTTTAGCTTTCTGTCCTAATATTGTTCACAACTTTCTTCTGTCAGTACCTGCCTGTTGACAAAAAAAAAAAAAAAAGCAACCTACAAACAAATTAATCTAGCCCAATAAAAACTCTGATTTAAAACAAGATTTAATTATTTGTTGAATACATTCTTGTATTTAACTTAACATCCTTGAAATAATGAATTCATTTAAGAAAAATAAAAATAATGTATAACTTCGCTCAGGATAAAATGGGATTAAAGTCAGAAGAAAGTAAACGCTCAAACTGTTGGAAATTCAACTAATCCAGAAACCCTCAGGGGTTTCCCTTTTATAAAGGTACGAATGTGTCAAGGTCACTTCAATTCTTCCAGTGAAGTTAAATGTACTGAAATAAAAATCGAACATCATTTTCCTTGCTTGCAAACCTTGTGATTTACCATAGCTGCACTACTCTGATCTGATAGTCTTAATTTCTCAGCACTTCATTCATGCATTTTGAATGCAAATAAATGCTCCTAAAGCAGAATGAATATACATATGTGTATAATCTTGTTAATTTCATATATTTTTATCATCTTTTCATATTACCACTTATACAAGTCGAAAATGAAATTGTATTTAAAGAATTACAGAATAGTTGAAACTGGAAGGTGTACATCTTCAGGAGCACAGTGCAAATCTCACTGATTACAGTAGGGTACTATCTTAACAATTTAAAATTCATTTCTTTAGTAAAAACGTCTTGCAGGATAAGTGAACAAATGGAACAACTATGAAAGCAACTAATGACTGTTAGCCTTTTAAAAGATTCTTTCCACTTTGCATTCCTTCATATTTCCTTTTTTTTTTTTTTTTTTTTTTTGTGACTGTGGCCTGAAAATATGCACAAAATATGTATAACAAAAGTAAAGTCTTTTTCAGCCAATATATGCTTGATTTAAGGGAAATATTTGTTCTGGGCTACCTCTTTTTCCGTTATGAATTTTCTTGGTACATCTTTACTATTTTGCTAATAATTATTTTGCTTTAAAGACGACTTCAATCCAATAGCCACCATTATGAACTTATTAACATTTGACTCATTTGGAGAAAAAAGATACTTACAGATTCTTTGGAAGAGTGTAAACTATGGGATATTACTTTCTTAGAAAAATGCTTTAAATCTTGCCTCAGGCAAATAGATTATTTTTCTGTACAATCAATATTCTGCATTATCTGTTTTTCCTAGCAAATCCTAGACATATCACAAACACTGCTTTAATACTTAAGGATTTAATCTTTCTCGTAAAATTAATGAGATTTGAAGGTTGATATTATCCATACTAAGGATAGTATAGAATGCTCTCAGAGACTTGGTAAATATCTTACTACCACATTAAATTCAGGATCCATTGCCTAACTTTGGAGATGTTAAGCCATACATACCTTTAAGTATATTCATAGAGAAAAATGAGTAGATGAAACTCAATTAATTGGTATCTTTCTTTATTGACAGGCTAGTGAAGGATGCCCCATGGGATGAGGTCCCTCTGGCTCACTCCTTAGTTGGCTTTGCCACAGCTTATGACTTCTTGTACAGCTATCTTAGCAAGACTCAACAGGAAAGATTTCTTGAGGTAATTGCCAATGCTTCGGGATATATGTACGAAACATCATACAGACGAGGATGGGGTTTCCAGTACCTCCATAACCACCAGCCTACCAACTGTGTGGCCCTGCTGGCTGGAAGCCTGGTTCTGATGAATCAAGGTATGTGCTAAACCATAGGAATGCTTTTCTACAGCATATCAGCTCAATTGCCCATTTATGGAGTAACATGCAGGAACTGATGCACATGTTTTTTTCTGCGGTTTTCCACATTAAGTACTCTGCCTATATGGCAGCCAGCTGCAAAGGTGTTCTGCTTTGTGTGTTTTGAGAGCTCCGTTGCATTGGGTTTGCTCTTATGCTGCTTAGAAAAAAATGTATTTGTTGAATAGAACAATAATCTGGGGGCAGATGGACAGATATATATGCACTATATCAGTGAATATATAATCACAGAATCACAGAATGGCCCGGATTGGAAGGGACCACAAGGATCATGAATCTCCAATCCCTCTGCCACATGCAGGGCCACCAACTTCCCCATTTAATAACAGACCAGGTTGCCCAGGGGCACATCCAACCTGGCCTTGAACACCTCCAGGGACGGGGCATCCACAACTCTGGGCAGCCTGTTCCAGCACCTCACCACTCTCTCTGTAAAGAACTTGTCCCTGACATCCAACCTAAATTTTCCTTCCCTCAGCTTAAAACCATTTCCCCTTGTCCTGCTCTTATCTACCCTTTCAAAGAGTACTTGACTCCCCTTCTGTTCGTAGGCTCCCTTTCGGTACTGAAAGGCTGCAATGAGGTCACCCCGCAGCCTTCTTTTCTTCAGGCTGAACAAGCCCAGCTCCCTCAGCCTGTCTTCATAGGGGAGGTGCTCCAGTCCCCCGATCATATAAGATATATATATTATGAATATTTAAGTAGCTGCCTAACTGGTTTTGTATTTCTTACCTCACCGTTACTAAGAATTGACACTTCCCTCATGTGTACTAGTACCAGTTCAGATTTGCAGGCAGTCTTTTAAGATAGATTTTCAGTCTGGGGCTTGTTCTAATGCCTCCAGACAGTCCGGCATTGGTCTGCATCAAGGTCAGTGGTCAGAAATGCCCTGGGCCCCAAACTTTCAGCTAGGCTATAGCACTTCAGTCTTGTTTCCCTGAGAGGACTGCCAATCTGGAACTTGATCCACCTGTGGGCCACAGCTTAGGACCTGTCTTTTCAGCATCTTTTGCTAAGGAGTTGAGCAAATCTTTACCTTTTTCCCTTTGAGCTATGTCTACTCTGAAGGAGAGTGGAAAGAGCAGGCAAAGCAATCCTATAGTAAATCCCTATAGTACTTAGACTGAGTGCCACAAGTCAAGAAAAAAATCTAGTTTCTGGATGCTGATAGTGTTACTGAGCTGTTTAGTCCGGCCAAGCAAGGGCACATCTGCACATAGTTGGAACTTTCAGACATCCAAAGAATGTGTGCCAGAAAAATGTGACATCTACTGTGTTTGGGGGTCAATTTTTTCTTAAGAGCTTGTCATGGCAAGTGCATTCACTAATGTGCATATGCTCAAAACCAGCAAGGGTATACATGGAAATGATTCCCTTTCCTTGTACTATGCTTTCCACAAATTGAAGACTAAGACCATGTTTATTCAGTGGGTTTTGCTAAATTCCTCACAATTCCATCCTTCCCTGATCCTCCGTTGTTGCAAAAGCTGGCAGTTTACAAGAGGACTCTGCTTTTCATTAGAGTATAGACCAGAAGTATGCTTTTTGCCAAACAGTGGTAACATCACAAACACAGTTGGGTAATATTTCTTTCAGTAAACTTCATATCTTTTTTGGGGAAAAAAAAAAGGAAAAAAAAAAAAAAGCAAAACAAGCAATACTTGAGCAAGTACTGTGAATATTTCAAATGAAAATCACTCAATACATCCAGACTGTGTATTTCTAAATGAAAGTTTAAAGTTTAATTAATCTCAATACAGAGCAACTTCATTTAACAAAAAAAAAAAAAAAAAAAAAGTTTCCCTTTTGGTCAAAAATTACTAAAAAAAACACAGTTTCTTAAAAATTCTAATTCCAACATGAAAGACTTTTTCTGAAGGGGAAAAAAAAGGGAAAGATGGAGGGAGTAAACAAATTCTATCTATATCAGATTGGAATCAATTGTAAATAGTCTATCCCAGTGTGAGCATTTCTTCAAAAGGTTTAAACTTCACTTTTAGAAATTTTAAACATGGTGCTCAGCTAATGAAGTAGGCAGAGAGTAAATAGCCACCATAAAGTCATGTAAACATCGTCATAGGACAGAAAAATGAAACTAACTGAAATGATTTCTAGGTACCCACGTATAGTCTTTGCAGTTAAAATACACTCAGATACTCCTTAAAGAGACATGAGTAAGGCCTAATTTGACATACATGCTGTTCATTACGTGTGAGATTTATTCTGGAGGGTTTTTTTTGTGTAGCCTGACAGAGTGTTGAGTTTTCCCTTTTTTTATTATTCAAATGTATCATTATGTTATTAAGGTACATATGAGAATAGATTTATAGCATCAACATAACATCAGTTAACAGAACATATGTGCATTACAGCAGTAAATGCACTATGTTGAGCCATGGAAAACACCATTCTTGTTAGGGCAGCATCCAAAACTAACTGATATGGCTGTAACGTCACAATGGAAAATGAGAGTGGAAGTAGTTGGGGTTGTGTTCAGATGGACTGCTGTGGTGCCCTGCTCTATCAGTGTGAGGAAGCAGCGTCACACCAGCGGTGAGCAAGGAGGCAGAACTCAGTAGTGCGGCCCACTCCTCCTGCTCAGGCCATTCCGGTCATCTTCAGCCTAAATCAGGTTGTCTGTTTAACTTAGATTTCACAATTTTTTCCTCTCTGTTAACTGAGTAGGATTTGGCAGTCTTGATTGGTAGAAAGTCTGAGTTGCTCATCACTCTGCTGAGCATAAAAATGGTGTTTGTGGCAATAAAGAAAAACATTCTTGGTAGCAGGTTTGAATGTAGCTCATACTCCCTCAGCCTGGCACATGCAGTTCATTCAGCAGGCACTGTTTCACCAAGTAATGTGGGATGTAATGCATGCCAGCTGCCCTAAAGTTGAGCTCTACTATGCAGTGGAAAGAATTCGGGTTAAATCTGTGCCCAGACACTAGGTAGCCATACAGACATACAAGGTAATTGTTTTCTTTTTAGTCCTACCTCTGTTGCCAGTGGATCTAGAAGAGAATAAGAGAAAGCATGCAGTCTTTCATCTGCTGGGATCCACAAACTGCCTTCCTTCTGCAGCAGGCACTGCTGGGGATCTCATGCCTGTGGTTGCTTCCATGGTGAAGGCAGCAAAGTCCTGAGAAGGACTTCAGGCAACCTCTTCCCAACTCATGTTTTGTGTGGAGCAGATCGAAATAGTAAGATCTCTAGAAGTCTTTCCTTAGAAGAAATGTAACTGTTTAGAGCTTGTTTATGTGAAGGCTGGAAGGTTGGAAGGTAAGGAAATGAAGAATCTGCGTTTGTAATAAGCCATGCAAATCTTTTCCAAAGGAACTTCTATTTTGGATAACCTTTTAGATACTGAAAACGTAACCAGAATATAGCATATCTTAAAATAAAGCGTATTGTAGTAGAATATGTCAACTGCAGCTCAAGTGTCAACTTTTTATAAACTCTGAGAATCTTTCACTGCACTGGTGATTGTGCTGGTGAAAAATGACTGATAAGAATACTTGCTTTATTGGAGCCCTCTAGTGGGTAAAATTATTTTCATACTGTTTTAATTTGAAATGCAATAAACGGTGTTGTTCTGACTCTTCTGTTTTTGCATGTTCTGAATGCATTAAGTAGTTTTTCCCATCAGGGTGTATCACATAATCCCACAAAAGTAAAAAGGTGTCTTGATAGTTTTCTCTCTACTCAGGTAACCTTGCTCTACTGTGTTTAAGTGTAGCATTTTATCTTTTACCCTGGAACCACAGGGATGCTGCAGTGATGGGTCATAATTTAGAGATCTATCAGCTTTCCTTATGGATTCATTGCTATGGAGGATCGCACTGTGTGAATACAAGTGATGTCATCTATGATTTACAGTGTTGTGACCAGATTTTGTAACACCTCTTTTCTTTCAGGCTACCTTCAGGAAGCTTACTTATGGACCAAGCAAGTATTGGCAATCATGGAAAAGTCAGTAGTCCTGCTGCAGGAGGTCACAGATGGCTCTCTCTATGAAGGGGTGGCTTATGGCAGCTACACAACCAGGTCACTCTTTCAGTACATGTTTCTTGTCCAACGGCACTTTGATATCAATCACTTCAACCACCCCTGGCTCAAGCAGCACTTTGCATTTATGTACAGGACTATCCTGCCAGGTAGGTCTTTTGGACCAATGAAAACTCATCTTCCAATTCTTGAAAAAATTTTATACTTGAAGTGGGCCATTTTCAAGTAACCTTGGCATTTGAAATGACCTTCTTCTCTCACTTCTACTTTTATCATCCATGGAAACAATGATATTATTGTTTATTACTGCTTATTAAATGCTGTTGTTTATTAAACTTTTTTTTAGAACAAGTACAAAACAAGAATGTCACTTGAGAGAAAAAGTAGTGCTTTAGAATTCGATTTCTGGTTTTCAGAGTTTGACATAGATCTGGTTCTGGGGCTTTCTGTTTGATAAATAATATTCATTGAGATTCTTACTGATTTTTTTTTCTTTGCCAAAAGGAAAAGCAATCACACAAAAATATTAGATTAAATGAACAGCAAATCATGAAGCCACGGTGAAAGTATCAAGGATGTGCAGAGAAGTTCTGCGTAGGATCATAGAATCCTTAGAGTTGGAAGGAACCTTTAAATGTCATCTAGTTCAGCTCCCAGCAATGAACAGGGACAACTACAACTAAGTCAGGTTGCTCAGAGCCTGGTTCGGACTGACCTTGAATGTCTCCAGGGATAGGGCATCTACCACCTCTCTGGATAATCTGTTCCAGATTATCTACCCTCACTGTAAAAGACTTTTTCCTTGTATCCAGCCTAAATGTATCTTTTTTTATTTTGAAATCATTTTCCCTTGTCCTATCCCAAGTGACCCTGCTAAAGGTCTGTGTTGAAATCCACTTTTATAACCGTTTT